ACAGAAGCTTTCCTTGATAGAGACATGCAGCCGCTGTCAATACACTTGAGAGCTGTGTGCAAAGTACAAGCGTGCAGATATTTTCTAAGCCAGCAAATGCTTCTTGTTGCCTTACATAGGAAATAAATGTAATATGAAAAGGTAACCAAATTGTAAAAAACATAGAAGGGAAAGCAGTAAAGGAGTAAATATGGAAAAATAAGAAGAAAGGGAGAAATGTGCTAATCCCGTTGTTTTGAAGGCATTTTGGATTTTTGCTACTCTGGGAGGAAGACTGGGCACCACTACCTCCCTTTCACTCTGCAAGTCTCCAAGATTTCAGCTTTGTGCTAAATTTACCTTGGAGCTAGACTTTACACTCACAGTCTGTAAGATTTAGGCTGGTCCATACTGTAGCCCTGAATGCTGCATCTGCTTCACGCTGCCTGCCTCTACATTTAGCGCTCTCTGAAGCTGTTCATCACTGTATACAAAATCTTTTTAGGCTGCAGCTTTATTATCCAGAATGGCTGGTTTTATTCTATTACACAGTGACCTTCAGGTCTTGTTTTCTGATCTGTTTTTGTAGTGGTACCTACTGTTGCGTTGTAAGAGGTGTATGTTATGGATTTTCATTATAAGATTTCCTGTCTATATTTCTTGACAATGAGACCACCAGGAATACCTGAGAGGCCTATTACAGTAATTCTAGTTCATAATGAAAAATACTACAGCAATAAAGGAAACTTTAGACTTTTAAATTAATTGAACTTTTCTTCATACCTGTTTCACAGTAATAAAATATGGCACACAAGGTCCCAAGCTTGTTTGCATGTATCTTTGAAAAAATCAGCTCCTGAGAATTTATTTTTGCTTCTTCATAGATCCACAGATGCATCTGTTCCTTCTAATTTTGTTTTAATCTGTTATTATAGATAGGCATCTCCAGTGTAATACTGCTGTCTTCTCTGAAAGAGAGCTGTTGTGGTTTAACCCCAGCTGGCAACTAAATGTCACTCAGCCTCTTGCTCACTGCCCCTGGGTTGGGACTGGGGAGAGAACTGGAAGAGCAAAAGTGAGAAAATACATGGGTTGAGATAAAGACAGTTTAATGGGTAAAGCAAAAGCTGCACACACATGCAAAGCAAAACAAGGGATTCACTCACGGCTCCCCATCTGCAGGCAGGTGTTCAGCCTTTCCCATGACAGCAGGGTTCCATCACATGTAGTGGTTACTAGGGAAGACAAACACTCTCACTCAAAACATCCTTCCCTTTTTCCTTCTTCCCCTAGCTTTATATGTTGAACATGATCAGCTCTTATCTGTCATATGGTCTAGGATACTACTTGGGTTAGTTGGGGTCATCTGTTTCAGGTGTGTCCCTTCCCAGCTCTCGTGCACCCCCAGCCTACTTGGTGGTGGGGTGAGAAGCAGAAAAGGCCTTGACACTATGTTAACACTGCTCAGCAACAAGGAAAACCTCCCTGTGTTAGCAACATTGCACAAATCCAAAATATAGCCCTATAGCAGCTGCTGTGCAAAAAATGACCTATACCCAAACAAAACCAGCATAAGGACAAAATCTTAAGAAATTGGCAAGCAGTCATGGATGAGATTTTCTAGGCTACTCAAATAATGTAGATGCCAGCCTATTACCTATTATAATTGCTGTAATGAAATAATTATATAGTATGAGTATTTACATATTGTTTTTTATAAAAGACTAATACAGGACAACTATTGAGGACTAAATCCCTACTGTGCTGAACAAGTACTGAGCAAAAGAAAGTAACTCCTGCCTCAAGAAAGACATATCTAAAACCTTTAGATATAACAGAGATTATTTTCAGACTTACTGAGTAGAAACTGTTTCCAAAGACCAGATTCGGAGTGAGAATTTCCATCGGATTTAAATTACTTTGAATCAAATGAATAAAACCTATTTCTTTGCTGAGGTGAGCCAAGATTAATACACTGACTGCAGTAAAACAATTAAGTTTTGATCAAACTAGGAATCTACTTCTGCGCATTCTTCTCCTGTATCCCCACAGACCTGAATATAGAACAATAACGGAGTTACACCACATTTCACTGCAGGCTAAATTCTTCTTCTTACATAATGTCACAACACAAATCTGGTCTCAGGTGAAATGTGGTAGTTCACGGTGGGAGAAATTTTTCTCTTCCTTTGTTTGCATAATTTACAGGTTGGAGTTTCTTTTACAATGGTTTTCAAGGACTGACTTTATTTTCTGTTGTGCTATGCCTTTGCTTTAAGATTCCTTTTTCCTTTCCCAAGAGGACAGTGCTTCTAACCTCTGTGAAGTAATAATGAATCCCTGAATGGGCTATTGATTGCAGATGAGGTGTTTCCATTTGACCAGATGTTTGATTTGTGTTTCCCGAGATGAATCTTCTGGATACTTACTGTCTAATGATAATGATGTGTAATAGATGTTTATAGCTAATTTCTTGCCATGCAAGTGTGTGTGAAATCTTCTCTTCAAATATTTGTTTACTGCTAGTGATTAGTCCTGTAGCTTGCATATTTACACTATGACCCATAGCTAATGTGAATTTTCTGCTAGACTGGAGCCTTCAATGAGTTTGTTTCTTCTTAGAATTTCTTTCAGTAGTTTCAAATGACGATAACATCATTTTATGGTATCTTTATTAAACATCAGTAACTGATTTTTCTTATGGAGGAGAAATAACTTCAAAAGAGATTGGACATCTAGTTTGGTCCAAATCGTGTTCATTTGATCTATGTGTAAAGGAAGCACTTATCATGTGAATGTCTTCTTTAAAGTTTAGCTGCCATTACTTCCCTGTTCTCAGTTTTAGTAAGAACTGTATGTGGGAGAAGGTCATACACTCATGAGCAATGGAGAGAAAGGAGAGGAGGTAGGACTGTCTTATTTCATGTAATTTTACATGTAAGAGCAGGCAAAATCTTAAATACAGTATTTCCTCGGATGCAGTGTTTTTCCTGCTTAGCATTCAGAGCATCTAAGCTGAGACCTATCATCACTACTTTTCCCTTACACAACGGCAACAGGAGGATATTCATACTGGATGTGAAAAGGGCCCAGGTGGAGTGGAACGACACATTACAGTGCCCCAAGAATGACACAGTAGTGCAGATCAATAACACGGTAAAGACATATTTTGTATATAGGTGTGTAGAACTAGGAGTTACTAGAAATTCATGTTTGTTTGAAGTTAATTCTTTTAATTATACAATTGTCATTAATGGTCAATGCATGTGAAGATGTGGCCGATTTTAATGTCTTTCCTATTCCACAAATTCATGTAACCTATATTGCCTAAAAGGAAAATCAGAAATACTTGTCTTCAAAAAGAGCTAATAAGCATTACTGTATGATATTTTGGGCAGAGAACTTTAAATTGTATTATACATGACTATCAGAATATGAGAATGTAGAAGCTGAACACTGTTTACTGCATAAAGCATAATTGACTTCTCAACAAACAATAAAGCCTATCCCCAGTTATACTCCTCTCCTGTAGGAAATGGACTTAATATTGTAGACAGGAAAACGTCATCTTATCTAGGAGTTTAAGCTTAATAATGGTCTTAAATATTACACCAAATCATTTCAGAGGGCCATATGCTGAAAGCTGCACTCCAGTTGGTAAAACTCCAGTTAGTAAGAGTTGCACTTCTACTTGTTCTTGGTTCTCAAACTCCTCTTGCTTTGATAGCCTGATGCTAATGAGAAATACTGGTTCAGTAAATAAGTAAGTCATTCAAATCCAGCTTTATGGAAGATGTATTAAGGTATATGTTTCATTTTAATTTTTACCATTAACATTTGTCCTTATGGAATCCCAGAAAAAATGGAAATATCTAAGATATGACTAAATGCATACAGTTTTGGTCTGACTGCTAGACAGTATTTTGTTACCATTTATGTGCTGTACTCACAGCACACCGTTCATTTTGAATTTTGAATTTCAGTATGCTATATGCTACATTAGAACCTATCTACATTTTTAAATTAAAAAACAGTAAAGAGCAGTGCTGAGCCCTACAACATCCACTGGAGTTCTTAAATTCTCAAAAAATAACACAGATGTTTTTTGTAAGCATTGCCTGTGAGAATCGCTTTTCACTTCCCCCAGAAAGAAACTGAGCTACTCTAAAATCTCCCATTGACACTTTTTAATGGAGAAACATTCTGTTTCCAAAATGCAAACCCTTGTGAAATTGTTTCTATTTTTTAGCATAAAAAAGATTAGAATTACCTGAAGGCATTTTTAATTGTAGAAAATATCAAAAGTATACTTAAATTTAACATACAACCCCCCTCCCCATTTTTCATTCAGCCCTAAAAGAAAATACGCTGCATTGGGCTCCAAAGTCTACACAGATATGCAATGTTTTTGACATTTCATTAGGTATCCATTCTCTTCATTAATGCTAGTTTCCTTTTAAAGGAGAATGGAAATACCCAGAGAACAGTTATTCAAAATGTCAAGCCCATTAAATATCCAATTTGATGCTTGAAATAAATTTATGAAGTTATAAATAAGACCCCAAGTAATGTTTTCTCAAAAAAAAAAAAAAAAATCAAGCTAGCAAGTGAGTTCAGAAAAAAAGAACTGATGTATCTTGTTCTCAATTTTGAATATTTTGTGTTACATGGTTGGATCCTTACAGTATGATTTCCATTTATACATTACTAAAAAGTGTAAATGATGAAAAACAATTAAATGGAATAAATAACATAATGGAAACGAAGTCTGCTATTCCAGTTTCTCTGAAAAAGACTAATTCTCTCAATCAACCCTATGGTTATGTGAAAAACTAAGCCTATTCATGAACTTTTGCAGGAAGAAGGATCTAATTTTCTAAGGTGTCATTGTGACTGACCACAACAGATATCTCCTCCTGCATGAAGGTCTCTGATTAAGAAAGTTCTGACTACAAATTTGAATACCAAATAGAAATATTTGCAAGGAACCAATTGCATGCAAATGCAAAACATCCCATAGAATAGTCACTGTTGTGTAGCAAAAATGAATGCTTGGCCTCCAGCTGTTCACCTTAGGTTGGACTAGAAACACTGACTTCATCCAGAGTTCCAGATCAGTCTGGTATCAGCTCCTCTGTCAAAGATCACTGGTTATTTGAGGAGACAAGGGGTCAGGAGAAAATGTAAAAACTCTGGAAAACTTGAAATATTTCTATGACAGGAAAAAAAAAAACAACTTCCTCTTCCCCACCCTAGATAAGAGTCAGTTTGCAAAGGAAAAAAAGGAGGCTGTGTGAAACTGTTTTGCTATTGATGAGTAGACATTTAGACAATTTGTTGAAGTCAATGAGAACTAAGTGGGGAATAAGGATTTCACAGTTGGGTCATTTTTTATTCATTCTGTTCTACAGCGCTGCACATACAGTTGTGAAGTGCTAACCCATCTGTTCTGGGAAGTTGTTAAAATCCAATGGACTAAAAATACTCTGTCTGCCAAGAAGGCAGTCAAGGTGATTTGAAAAGGCTTGTCTGCATTTACTTTGGACCACAGTCTGCAGATAAATCAAGAGGCACCAAGGCTTTCCTTTTTTTTTTTTTTTTATTTATTTTATATTCTCCTCTCCTCCTCCCCCAGACCTATCAATAATGAACCAAATTCACAACAGCCAAGGAGAAACCTGCCTCCTCGCTAATACTCTGTTTGTAAAACTGTGTCTGCACCTGCCCATGGTGCTAAAGTTCAAGTTACACTTTAGTAATTAATGATCACTTGCCAAATCCCTTTGTAAAGCTTTTTTATCAATGTCTTTAGTGGTTCACTTTGTATCAACAGCGAATCAATGAATGGAGTGCTCGAGACTGAATGTTGCTTTACCTGTTTCAAGTTAAGTTTTCAAAGACTAGAAGGATAATATTCAGATTTTTTTCTTTGATAACTTTGCTTCTGTGCAATGGTGGCATCCTTGTGATCAGCTGTAACAAAGATTAAATGCATTAATGAACTTAGTTTAACATTAGAAATGTGTGCTGTGAGAGACAACTGAAAAATGTGGGGCTTCAAGCTGGTAGCTGGATCGTTGTAAATGTAAATGCTGCAGAGATGTAGCAAGGAACACACTGACTCCTAGGATACTAGCTGGGGAGTCAGGCAGGATCTGAAACGGTTTAAAACTCTCCAAGGTAATGCAGTAATTAACCACACAGACAGAAGTACAACGAGGTCATGAGCTGAGTTCCTGTATTTAAAACTTCAGAAGTAGCCTGTATTGTTGTCAGAATAATCCCACAGCACTGCAGGAATAATACCAACCATCGCACCCACCTCAGAACAGCTTATGAAGTACAAATGTCTTGTCTGTCAACTCAACACAGAGGAGGTACCTGGGCTGCCACTGCTTAAATCCTGCTAGTCTGTATCTATCACAGATGAAGAAACTTACGATCTTGAGAAGCTCCAACAACCTTTACATCACCTTGGAGCCATCTGTACAGCAAAGCAATTGAACTGTTTCATTGCCTTGTAGAAATGATTTCTTTGTGGTCCTCAAAGCCATGTGAGCTAATTACATGGGATTTCTCATTAATTTTGCTACTACAGATGACTAAAAAGTACATGACAAACGAAAATTACTTCTTCTCAAGCTTAAATAGTCTAGGACGAAACATAAACCTTTTCCTGACAGTTTAGCTCCAGGTTTATGCTGCAAGTTGCACGCAACTTCATGCATAGGTAGAGCTGAGGCTGCGTGTTGCCTATCATGGCGCGCACCGGTACAGCAGGGTGGCACTGCTGAGGGCAAGCGGATCACAGAAGTGATCGCAGGGCTGGGCACAGGCTCATTGACGGGGAAGACCTAGTGCGTAAAACTTGCCGGCGGCATTAGCCTGCGGCATGATGCGGACAAGCCAGTTGCTCTGGAGAGATCCTTAAAGTTAAACCTCCCCACAAATCGCGTCTTTCTGTTGTTTTTAGATTCCTCCGCATCTTTCTGAGAACAATTAGGGTTGAGCGCTAAAGCTTATCTACTTGTTGAACGGCCCCGCCTGCGCAGCCGGTCTAACGGCCGCCCCTCAGGGGCCCCTCCCCGCCCTCGCGCGACTGCCAGGTATCTCAGCTGAAAGGCCGGTGTCGCCTTCTTCCTCCTTCCGGACGGGAGCCTCGCGGCACGTGCGTTTTGTGCAAGGCCGCTTCGTTTTGGCCTTTCCCAAATGAAACCGTTAGACTTAACGCTTGAAATCTGTTATTATTTTAACCATTACGAAAACAAACAGCCTTTTTGAAAGGGAGAGAAAAGAAAGGGATAAGTAAAACAATGCTTGTTTTGCATTGTGTAAAGTTAATTGAATTGACCTAAATTCACCTGAATTTGTCCGGATTGACTGCCAGATTTTCTGTGTGTCACCGGTTTTGTCAGACTTGACTGTTTTTGTCTTCCTGGTCCCTTGGCCCCCTGTGTCTCAGAGAGGCAGCTGCACGGAAGAACTGTGTCCTCTAGCTTAGCCTCGTCACTGTGTGAATTTAGGATGAGGTGCTTTGGCGCTGTCAGGGTGGCTGAAAGAGCTGGCGGCTACAGAAGCAGTGGAGGACAATGAGGGCTGGAGCTGTTGTGGCTTAGTTTGCTCATGAGTGCTCCAAAGTGAAGCTTCAGATGTTGCGGGCTTAGTCTTGTAGGTTTACTGGAGAAGGCTGTCAACAGTAGTTTTCATCTGCCAGGAGCCTCCTATGTACTGAGCCTGAAATGCAGGCCTGATAAAAACTTTTTCTGTGGGTTGATTTCTCCCAGCTGATAATTTACAGACTGACACGATAACACGGGCAGTAGGAAATACATGGAGGAATGCTGAACTATTCTGTTCAAAGAACTCTTTAGCTACTGGAGAAGACTCACTCAGTTGTGCTACTTGTGGCTGCACAATAGAAGTGGGAAGACCATAAAGAAGGAAGCTACTATGTTGCCTCCAAAGGGGAAGGAACCATCTTCTCCAATAATATTAACCTGATGAAGCTGGAGTGGAAGGTAAGATGCATTTTTTGTTTTTGTTTGGCTTAACTTCCCAGAATTGCCAGGGTAATGGTGCTGGAATGCAGGAAAGATATTGGCTGATTTTTGAAAGAGGAAACCCCCTCAGTGGTTGCTGAGGAGGTTAGTGTTCACTGGCCCAAGTGTTAACCAAGTCTGAAGTTCAAGTTTGATCTAGACGGAATCTAAACGAAAAAAAAAAAAAATTCCTGCATGTTTGTATCTCCATGAGTCACTAAAACAAAATCAAATAATTAGCTCAGTATTGAGGATAGTTACAAAATGCACGTTTTACAGTGCTTCCAGTGGGCGTTGGATCAGACCTTGAATGCAAAAGAAGATAAATCTGCCTTCTCAACTTCACAGTCACAGCTGGCACACACATTTATAAGGGCAGCTTGTGTTTCCATTAATGGAACTGTTGTTGTTCAACGAAATAAAGTGTACCAGTCTCTGGAAATACAAATTTAAATCTTATCACTAACACCTGTCTCGATACAGCACTAAAACCAGTTTCGTATACAGGAGAGGGAAAACTGTCTAAAGACTTGAAAATGTCAAAATAAGAAATTGCTAAAATAGAATTGTTGTGGTAGAGAAAGTAGAGTGGCAAACAACTATGTTCTGGTTGACTTGACATGCTTTGATACAGTTTATAAACTTACAAAAAACAAGACTATTTAATACATACTGATATAATGCTCAGTAATAAAGCTTGAGCATAACAAGAAATACTGTAAATAGCTACCAAGAATACAGTGATGGCTGTTTTTCACAATGACATTATTCTGTTTTGATTTCTTTTTCTAAAGTGATCTCAATATGCATCTTTTCAGTACGGAAGAACAAGCTAGAGAATATCTAACTGAAGTTGCATTTTCTTAAATAGTTGGATGAAATGCTGATGCTTATTTGATATTTTGTGGATTTTTTTTCCATGTTAATTTAATTTTCAACAAAATAAGGAGTACAACAGAGAAAATGAAACATAGACATATGATATTGTAACTGTGGTTGATTAGAAACAGCAGGTAAAAGATGAAGAACCTCCTGCCTTCATTCTGCACAGCACAACACGAGTTAAACAGTCACCCATGACGTGAAAGAAACTCCTTTTAGCTCAGAATGGAAGAATTGTAGAATCACAAAATAATTTAAGGTTTTAGGGTGTCTTTGGAAGTCATGTTTGTACTAAAATTTTAGGATGGCTTCCCTGGATTTGTGTGAAGTTTGCTCAATTTTATTTTAATCTTTCAGCATCTGGGATTATTTTATTTTTTCTTCTGCAGGACTATAGCTAATTTATTGGTATATAACCAACACATTTTCACATCTGTCCTTGTGAATTTCTTTCAGATTTTTATTCTTGGAGCTCATCTTTCAGTAAGGGTTTTGCCATACCGCTTTTATTTTACCACAGATTACACCAGAGCTGCTGGAATTCATTGTGTGTGAATAGGGGCAGAAGTTCTACTTAAAGAGGCTGAAAAGTATTTTACAGAAGCCAGCTTGGCATTCTTGCCATGTTTGCAGTGTTAAAACTCATAATATGTGTGTAATAGAGATACAGAGGTGTTTGTGGTTGGTCTTGTTTTTGTTGGTTTTTTTTTTATTATTTAAAAATATATTTGATGGATAACAGGATTTGTTGAAGGCTTCATTTTAGTGTGGGAAGTGGAGTTTCTTCTTTAAGCTGTGTATTTTACAGTGACTGCTGTTGTTGCACTTCTGATAAAACGCTGTTGCATATGAGTTCTGTAGCAGCTACATATGTGACTGAGGAGGTGCCTGGGGTCTTAGGAGGTAAATAAGAAAAAAAAAAAAGGCAGCCCATTTCTAACCAGAGAATGCAAGGAAGGAATTTGTCGCTATTGACGACAGCGAAATAAATATTACAATAGATTTATGTCTACCCAATGAATTTATATTGGCATCTGAGTGATGTCCTGTCTCAGGAAGACTCGTAGACCAGTGTTACTAGCTTCCTTGATGGTGATCTTTCCTTTCAGGCAGTGAATTTGTGGTGTGAAATTGGCATCTTGTTTATTGTTTTTCTTGTGTTCTTTTACTTCCTAAAGGAACATGCATATTATTACATTGTACTATGGTAAAAAAAAAAAAAAAAGTCTTAGTTTCATGTCCAGATCTAGGCTCCAAAATTCACATTTTGGCACCACAATAGAAGTAGCCAAACTGAAGCCTCAGACATTGTACATAACTTTATATGTACATAACTTTATATGTATGTGCATCATATTGGAAAAATTATTGTTTGTATAAATGTAAAATAATAAATTTGGAGCCTATGTTGAGGTACAGAAGGTGCTACAGTTCTTGTCTGTCTATTTAGACACACATTATGGGAGTTCCTCATCAACAGTAATCATAAGACTATAAAAGGACCTATGCTTTCTGGAACAATAAACAGTTAATTGTAGCACAGCTCAGCCTATTAACTGGTTTAGTGTTTCTACTTGATTATTCTTGTTGCTCAGTTTTCCAGGCCCAGGATCTTCTGCTTTTATTCAGAGATACAGATACCTTCCACTTCTTGATTCTTCTAATGTTTTGTTTTTTTTTTTTTTCCTACAGTCTGGTGTTTGCCAATAAGTTTAGTCACTTGAGTGCACCATTAAAGCGTGCTTGAAGAATTCCTTTGGAAACTGTGCTAGAATAGTAATTACAGAAAAATTACTGTAGAAAAGTAGAGAAAAAAAAAACCTCAGATAAACAATTTAGTTAAACAAAGGAAATCAATTTCAGGCAAACTGAAGTAGTTCTGGTTTTATATATAATACCAGAACTCTTTTGAAGTTTAAGAAAAGCTCAGTGCCTCCAGTTCCAGTCTCCCCTTAGGCTCTCCTAAACTCCTGGTTCTTACTAGCTTTGAACTGAGTGATTATGGAATGCTCCGTTAGTGCCTGCCTAATCCAGAACTCCTGGAAATCCATGCAAGTCTGCTTTTATCTTAATTTTCCAACTTGTTAAATGTCTCATACATGAAAATATATAACGAATGGGAAGTGTCAAAAGAAGACCTTTCTAGGAATAAATTTGGTGGACCCCAAAGATGTAAGTTCCATGAAACAATTTCAGATTAGTGTCTGAACTTCTGTGTTTCATATAAAAATGGTTGAGCTTTTTGAGAACAGCCAATCTCTTAATGAAAATGTTCTTATGTATTTTTTTTATCTATCCTGCTGCTTTAGATGGTAAGTCCTTTAATAACTCTTCAGAATATATTGAAATGCTACGCTGTGCTGAAAGCTTACTTTTTTCCCTCTGGATCTTACCTTAAAAGTGAATGCTGTACAGTAGGAGATCGTTTTGGATTACAGAACAACAGCTCCAAATGTCAGTAGTAAATAATCAGCAAATCCCTCATTATCAATAAAATGGTCCTGATATTCAGTAAAAAGCCATTCGTTAATACTTCAAATCCATATCCTCACAAACCTTTTATCTTTAGCAATCCCACCCGCACCAAACAAAATACAGTTTAATGCAAGAGGAATCTTTGAGGTTTTTTTTCATGCCTAATAAACTGGAGTGAAGGGTTTAGAAACTCCTGCTGGACAAGGGACTTACTTTGATTTTAATAGTGTTTTAAATGAAACTATTTGAAGATGTTTTTAATTCCCCACCTTTCATCACTGTAAAAAAAATACAAAATCCTTTAACATGTGTTCAGGTAC